TATTTTACAACTTTTTAAAAAAGATTTTATTTGAGAGAGAGCGAGAGAACACATGCAGGGGCAGCAGCAGAGGGAGAGGGAGAAGCAGGCTCCCCGCTGAGCAGGGAGCCCGATGTGGGGCTCGATCCCAGGACCCTGAGATCATGACCTGAACCCAAGGCAGATGCTTAACGGACTGAACCACCCAGGCGCCCCTGTATTTTAGAATTTTAGAACTCACACAAAGCAGTGCATGCAGGGGCTTTATAGAAAAGTAGACAGTGTAAGGAAGCAAGAAAATTCATACCTTCTGAAACCTGCTTTCCAGTTATCACTTGAGAAGTCGTGTCTGTGTGTATAAGTAATTTTTAGTTAAAGATAAAACCAGCGAATTATTTAGTAAAGTACTTTTCCATAAAAAGATATCCCCTGCACCCTGCCCCGCCAAGTTAATTTGTTTCTCAAAATGATAACAGGTCTCACCAGCGCAGAGCGACAGTCTTGCCTATTAGAAACTGATCTCTCGGGCCACAGTAATGTGTCCCCGACAGGTGGGAATGCACCTCGGAGACCCCCTGCCCACGTGGGCAGTGAGATGAAAGGCCTTGGAGGTGGGCTGTGGGGTCCTCTGTCCCTGCCGCGAGCCGAGCCAAGCCGCCTCCAGCTATGTCGTGCCTGTCCCTGGCGTCGGCTCTCTGGGCTCCAGCAGCTGCCTCTCCTGCCCAGGCTACTGAAGGGAGCCGCCCCAGCAGCTTCCTGCGAAGGGTTTTTCAGGAATTCTCTCCCACGCACCCACCCCTGTGACCGTCTGTCCTTCCTCTGGTACACTAATTGGTATATGTGCTGGCTCATCTCTAGCTCCTTGCTTCCTGGGGCGAAGAGAAAGGTCAGTGATGCTCTCATCGCCTGTTTACATCCAGTACAAGTGAGACATGACTCCGTGTGCGATCCGCGGTGACTGCGCTCTTACTTGCCACTCCAGAATGACCAACTTTGTCCTGTTGAGGATTCTGGGACTAGGAGTAGGGGGGCGCCGGTCCCCAGAGTCATGTGACCCAGATTCCTTGGTTCTAACGGTCTGGGCTGTACTTGTGGGGTCAGTTTGGAATGGAATTGGAGGTGTGCCAGGGGTGGCATGGGGGGAAGCAGCTTAAACAAACCAAGGTCTTGGGGTTTTATCGTCCAAGAGTCCCAATGTCAGAAGAAAGTAGCCCAATAAAGACGTGTTATGATAAGCTTTTGGAATGCCCTGTCCATTGCCCATGGGCTCCCTAGCACAGCTGCTTGGCTTATAGAAGCCAGCAAGACCTAAGTGCCAGTCTTTCCCGTAACCGAATCTCAGAAACGTCGTCAGGTCTGCTGTTCTCCGTGGGTTCGAAACCAGTCCCTGGGTCCAGCTCATGCAGGGGTGGGGCATGAGTGCTACGAGGTGGGCGTCCCTGGGGCCGTGTTAGGAGGCCTGCCCCTGCAGCCAGGGAGGAGCAAGACGCTGGGCTGGTGCCCCAGAGATTTCGGTGGCCTCCTGTCAGGTGGTACAGCTTAGACCAGGACTGACGAGTTCTGGTAACCAGACTCTGCGTGGCACATTAGCCCCCAGAACGGCACAGAACAGCGATACCATTTGTTTTGCTCCCCAAACCCTGCAGTCTGGGCTGGGCCTGGCAGGCATCGCTCATCTCTGCTGCACTGGGCATGGGCTGTGTGGCTCCGAGCCTGGGGCCCTCCGTCACCAGCAGCTTGTGCTCACCGGGGAGGGGGCCGGGGGCAGGGGAGAAGGGAGAGGGAGGAGGAGGAGACAGACACTGCGGTGTGCAGGGACCTCCCCCAGCGCTACCTATAGCTCTGGGCTCCCTTCCCTCTGTGGGAGGAGCGCTGGGGGAAGAAGGCGTCTCGCTGGACAAGTCCAGTACCTCTGCTCAGTCTAAAGTTTCGTGGCTTCCCTCCTGTGCTGTTGGGGCCCGTAGCAGAATGGGGTCAAGGAGACCCTGCCCCTGGGGAGACCCATGTTCTTCCCAGGGCCACCCCTGCGTCCTCCCGGAGAGCTTTCCACTGGCTTTGCTTGCTCTTGCTGCATTTCCTCGCCTTACTAGTCGAGTCCATCTGTGTATCGTTGTGTGCGCACTCGGCGTGATGCTTCTAGGACTCCTCCGCTCGGTGGTCCCAGCTGTCGTCCCCTCCTGCCAGCTTGTTTATAGTGAATGAATTTATGACCGTCTCTGTGTCCATTCGGATTTAATAGATCACATGTTCCTTTTTATCCGGTCCGGTCTGATGCTAATGGACATTTCGGTGGTTTCTGGTTGGTAACTCTTGCACTCGGTCCAGCTGTGCACCTTCTCCACGCCTCCTGGCTCCCGTGGGAGTGTGTCTCTCCCTGCTGTCTCCCCAGTAGGAGAACGAGGAACCAGAAACACAAGAATAACACGAAATCATTTTCTAAATGGACTCGTGCCATTTCCGTGCCGAGTGGTTCCATGTGACTATCAGCGCTCGGTATGCCAGACTTCCTGATTTTTTTCATCTAGCAGGTACGGATGAGATACTGATCGCATTCTGGCATTTCTCCAATCCCAGATGACCCTGAGCATCTTTTTGTCATTCCTTCTTTGGTCATTGGTGTTCCTGTTTTGTGCCTTGTTGACGTCTTTTGCCGGTTTCTGTTAGATTGTCCTTCTTGATTTGTTGTGAACTTCTTTATATTCTAGAGTTGTTTGTTGGTTATATGTGCTATATAAATCTTCTCCTACAGATCACACAGGGCAAGGTGCCCACGTTAAATCCTCAGTGGGGTTCTGTTGCTCTTTGAAGAAAAATCTTCAGCCCCTTGCCTGGCCCACAAGGCCTGACTGACTCGAGCCTGCCTACTCCTCCAAGCCCACCTCCGAGCACTCTCCCCATTCCAACCATTGGCCTCCTTTCTGCTCTTTCTCACCCCCGGGCCTTTGCACATGCTGTTGACTCTGTCTAGACAGACATTCCATCCTCAAAGCTCCTCCTCAACCACCTGATTGACGTACTTTCCCTCTCAAACCATCACTTGACCCATTTCTTGCCTTCTTAGAAACAATCACAGTTTGTACTCATTTGTTGCCCATGACTGTCTCTCTTCCCTCCCAGAACGTAAGTGCCAGGAAGGCCAGGGATGATGTCTGTTGTGTTCAGCACCATCCCCAGCACCTACCCCGGGACTGGTGTGTAACCCACCAGTTGGTGCTCTTAGTAACACTGATACTGTGCAGGTGAGCCACAGTCAGGAAGAGAAGTGGTTCCCATGTCAGGGACTGGTCACGACATTCTGGTTGAGAATTTCCTGTTTGTCAATGATGTTTTAGCCTTTCAAGTGGATGTTTGAATCTGTTACTTATTTTTCTTCCCCTGACTAATGTCAAGTAAAAACTGATCGGGGAGTTAATTCTCTGTCCCAGCTTTTCTGTCAATCAAGTGGAACAGCCAGAGATTAATCTTTTATGTAACGCAGACAAAAGTCGAACACAGCAGTTTGCATACACCCCCTCTGCCCCCAGCATAGTTGTTAAGGGCACACTCATGCCTACCGTGGTTTCTTATGGTCTCAGCCAGACCCTGAGACAGACAGGCTGCCCAGGATGCCCGTCAGAAGGATTGAAAAGATAGAGGTTACACCTGTTTTACATGCAGCAAATTAGACATTTTTCTGGCTTTTCTTAGGGAATCTGACCATCCCATTCGGGTCTTTGTCCACTGCGGCAGCGTGGCTTCCCTGGCCGCTTGGGGGAAACACGGAGAAGGGGACAGAAACGAGACACTGGCTGGATCTTCCTTTATTTGTCATGTTTCCCAAATCAACTCGTCTCTTTACATAATGCAGGAAAATCTTGTGTGGAAAGCTCTTAAAACTGCAGCCAGTACATAACCAAAACCTTACAGATACACTTGTCTAGGGTTTTATTTATGGGGAAAATTGCTAAAAACCAGATAGTTCCGTCCCTGATTTCTTAGAGCTAAGCCAAGGGCCATTAGGTCTCTAGCATTAATAGAAAGCTCCCTGGAGCCCGCGATCTGGCCATGGCATCTAGGTGACTGTCACGTGGACAGGGACGGAACGTCGCTTTTCCCCTCCAGCTCTCTGGGAGGCAGGTGGATGAACGCCAGATGACCACTTCCATGCAATACCCTGAAAATGGTCAACCGAGGATTTTTTCGAGACAGGACTTAACTATGGCTTCAAGAGGATGCTTGAGAACTGTTCTGCCCTTCATGAAGTTCACAGGAACCAGAATAAAACTGAACCAAAACCCGAGGCCTTTAGCTCGAGCACATTATTCTAGAACAGCGGGATTTCATCTGTCCAGCTTTGGGTGCAAAAATTATTCTGTATTAGTGGTTTGTCCATGACAATCGAAGGACTCAAAAATGCTTTTAAATGTCTGAAGGTTCTTCTTGATGTAAGTATTCCTAAATGCACGACCCATTGTGGGGCCCTGGTCCTCGGGTTGGGCTGGCTCCGGGCGGGGCCTGGGTACGCACGGGGAGACGGCAAGCCTCGCTCCCAAGTGGTTCAGATGGCCGGCCAGGGGTAGCGGCAGGGACATACAGTAACTCAATACAGGAATGAGGACGGCGTCGGCCCCATGGTCCTGAGGCTACTTGGCATTTAGGACTGACACACCCCACTGACGCCAGACCCCAGGAGGGGTGGCCCATGTTGCAAGACCATGACTGTGCCTGTGAGCTTGGGGGGGGGGGGTTCCTCTCTGTAGGGATTCAGGAACAGACTGTGCTGTGTATTTGACATGGAGCGTGCCCACTCTTCAAGCTCTGGTAGGTAAGGTTTGTTGGCCCTAAACCCTCTGATGAAAAAAATTAGAGGACTGAGTATTTGTGGTTAGGAAATGCTGGTGCATTCTAGAGGCAAGTGACTTTTTTTTTTAAATAATGAGGTGAAGTTGTGAAATATTGATAGGATGGCTATAAAAGGCAAAAGACCTTCCTAATGCCTATTTTTGTTATATAGGACACTTAGAGCCATGAAAATGAAGTTAAAAAAACAAAAAAACAAAAAACCACCAACAAACCCCTCCAACTAATGCTCCAATTAAGTGTCTGCGAAGATGTTTGTACAAATCTACCCAAAGAAACTTCACTGAATCCTGTATGTCCAGGAAGCACAGAATGTTAGGGCAGGAAGCGGCCCTCTCCGCTTAGGGATAACCTTGACCTACTTACTGCGGTCAAAGACAGGGGACATTGGCACTGTGGACTGATGCTGTATCATAAATATGGTGTCTTCAGTTCCAAAAGGCTCTGTTTTCTACACTCTAGAAAACCTATGTACAAATAATTTAAGATGGACTGTAAGTGACGTTCATGGTCTTTGCTCTAATGAGTTGGCCGCCATGTCCAAATAGAACAACAAGTTGGCTGTGCCCTCACCCACAAGTGGTTCTGGCATCTTTTCCAACATCCAGTGGTAGGGGCTGTCTGCATGGACTTCTCGGGTGGTTTGGGGTTGCGCACTGTAATTGGGAGGATCGGGCCTGGACCCACCGTGAGAGACCTCAGATCACAGAAGTGAGCCCCTTTTGGACCCCAGCAAAGGCCTCCATCCACCTGGCCAGTCGGTCGTGTTAGTGAAGGACCCAGCAGTTACATATTCACAGGGACTCAAAAAGAGAGACCTGGTTTTCCACCAGTGACATTCGGCTGTCATCTTAGGCACTTGGAGAAAACCTCTCTTCCAGCTGATCTAAAAAACAACTGCCCTCTCCTATTTTGGGATTTCTTCAGAAGAAAAAAAAAGTCGCTTAAATTTTATTCCATGAAAATTATAGTCAAATTTCAGCTCACAGTGTGGCCTAATTCTAGGACTTCCCTAAAGTCAAGAAAGCAGTTGTCTTCCAGACTGGCCTTGAAAAGCCCGTGTCTCTGGTCACAGGGAGGGGCACAGAGGGGAGCAGGGGCTGCTCCGTGGGTGGGGTGTGGGTCCTCCCAAGGGAACCTTCTTCCTCCACTGTCCTTCTTGACGAACTCAGGAAGACGACAGGCTGAGTGTTTCTGGAGCAAATATTGTCCGAAGCAGCCAAGGAGATTCCGTCTGTAAGTCGTAGCTGCCGGACAGGGAGCAGCTGAGCATGGTCTCTGGGAAGCCCAGTCCTCAGGCCGCGGGGGGCGTGTCTCCCCTCTTGAGACAGCGTGTGATGAAAGTCCCCAGGGCCACCAGGGGGATGCACATGGTGGAGGAGGCCACCAGCAGCCCGATGACGGCCAAGGCGTATGGGGGGTAGTCCTTGGTCACGAGCTGTCCCTGCAAGGGGAAACAGGGTCAGCAGGAAGAAACCACTGCACGCAGAGGTTGACCTGGTGGAGAGGCGTGTGCTGGGGGTGGGGGGTTGTCCGGGGCCACCTGGCTCTGCAGCTCACCAGCAAGTATGCTGGATAGACCACCCCCCGCTTGCCGTCCCCCTTGCCTTCTCTCTCTTCCGTGAACTTCAGCTAGTGTGCATACAGCCACTATTTTGGCCCTGCCTCTGAAAGATCACCGACAGGAATAATCAAGGGCCTTCCCTTCGGGGCACCAATAGGGGCACCTATGTGCAGGGGGCTAACCTGAGCCCGGTGCTGCCCAACAGAACATTCTGTAATGACACACGTGTTCCGTATCAGGGTTGTCCAACATGGCAGCCACCAGACACAGGGGGCTACTGAGCCCTGGAAATGCGGCCGGTGAGGGTGAAGAACTGAATTTTAAATTGTATGCAGTTGTGGTGAACTCAGATGGGCACAGCCCCATGTGGCTGTTGGCTGCCCCATTGAATGGCACAGCTCTGGTCAGGAGAAACCTTGAGGGACCTCTGGATTCAGTTGCTGGACGCTTCCCTGAATGCACATGAATTAAAGCTGATGAGAAATGAGGCCAAAAAGTGGGAGCCACGGAACAGCTACGTCCAGGGGAAGCAGGTGTTTGCTGTGGCCCAAGCGTGGTTTGTGACCCCAAACGCTGCTTAGGGTGTGGTGTGGGAAACCAGCCCGCGAACTTTCTGTTGCTTGCCTATTCCCTTTTTTTGTTCCATCCTGACCCATGCAGAAACTGGGGCAGGGCGGGGGGAGGCATTGAGAAGCTGTTGTAGCAATGTGACCGCTTCGTCTTCTGTCTGTTGGGTATCAGAAGTGATGGGAGCTTGTACTCTGCAAATATTCTCCTCTATTCTCCTCATGTCACTTTTCAAGTGCTTCACTGTCCTTGCATTTTACGGATGTATCAGGCTGCTGTGGATTGGGGAAGACACACCCCCGTCCCCCAGCCACGGCTGGAGAAGCGCAGCCGCTGGAACCAGGGCTGGGGGCGCCTTCAGCCACTATCGATCACGTTCTCTATGAAAGCGCGTCTGTATCGGGACAGCTGGCCTGGCCGCGAGGCCGAGGGTCCCCGTGCGGCCCCTGGCTGTTCACATGCTGACACGCTGTCCTTCCGGTTGGGGCACAGCAGCTGTGTGGAGCCCCAAGCGAGCCTGTTCTGTCTGTCCCAGCCGCACCCGGACCCGGACCCTGCCAGGATCCGGCACCCAAGTGCTGATGCAAGTCCCCTAGGGCTCCTGCAATGTCCCTTCCAGGGGCCATGCTTTCCGGGGGTCAGGGGCCGGGCCCTCCAGGCTCGCTCTGCCTTCCCCGAGGAGGCCTAAGTGGACAGAGGTCAGGGGTGGGAACCAGCACCTGGCAGACCTTCTACCGGCCTCCAGAGGCCCCCTGGGAAGTCCTGGGAGGGAATCCTACTCTCTTTACTGGAGTACACAGCGAAAAACCAAAGCCCACTTCTGCTGTCCTGAGCTGAGTGTTTTTCATTACCTGGGTAGTGTTTCTGTGTCGTGACAACTGACCTGCCCACCCCAGGGAAATGGGTCGGTTTCAGCGAACGTAAAGCCGGTGCTTGGAAGGGAGCCCAGGGGGCCCAGAGCCGGAGGGTACCTGGAAGGCGTCCCACGCTTGGTACTGCAGGGTCCCTGTGAGGATGTAGTCACTCAGGTAGAAGACAAAGAGGCTGACGATGAGCAGGGGGCTCATGCCGGCCCACATGGCCTTCCAGTACCAGTTCAGGCCACGACCGGTCATGGCCTCAAGGTCACTTTCAAATCTGTTTGGAAAATGCAGCGAAAGTCAGGATTATCCATGCTGTTGGGGCAAGACGGCTCCAGCTTTCATATCCCTTTGCTTAGAAAGATCCTGTTCTGAGCACCACCGATGATGACCTCTTTGGGGTTCCTCTCTGACACCTGGGGAGAGGGCGTGCGGGGTGGGGAGGGGAGAAGGGCTGAGGCCGCCACAGAGCAGGGCAGCAAAGCAACCGCCTCATGGTTACAGGGACATCAGAAGATACCTTCCTGGTGCCACCTTTGGATGAAGGCTGCTGGTGTAGACCATAAGGGCTACTCCCCATGGCGGGAGAAGCAGGCATGGAGAGGGGCGGGTGTGTGGTGGGGTGGGGTGAGGCAGGACCGTCACCGGCGGTAGTCACAGCCACCTGCCACGCTTGGGCCTGTGGCTTGTGCTGAGTTCCCACAGAAGCCTGCAGACAGCCACCTGTTCCCGTGCTGCTGCTGACCTGGCTGGACCCTGGGTTTCAGGCCATGAAGGGTCCTGTGCTTCATGTGAATGCCTGAGATTTTTCAAGATGACACGCTCTTTTGTCCCTTCACATCCCCTGCTCATCCCCGCTCCCCCTCCAACTTGCCTGGATAGAGAGATATGGGAAGAGCTAGCTGGCTGTGGAACGAAGGGTGACATGGCACTGTGGGTCGGTGGTCGCTAGATGGCGCTGTCCCCTGGGCGAGCCGAGAGACTCTCCTCTCCCGGCCATTCCTGGGTCCTGCTGCTTACAAACTCCGCTCTGCGAGGCACCTTTGGTTTCTCCCTCCCTCCAACCCTGACCACTTAGTACCACCCCTTTGCATGGACTTGTGTCCCTTCTCCAGCATCTCCCCTGGGCCCTGCCTTTTGGTCCTCTTTCCGCAACTTTCTCTCTTCCTGGGAAACACCTACCCTCTCAGGGGACCGATCTGTTTCTCCCTCTAGACTACCACATCTAGGTGACCCACTTGTCCCGGCTGACCCAGGACGTCCCCAGTGTTCACACTGAACGTCTCAGGAAACCCCTTGGTCCTGGGAAAACAAGGAAGAGTGGGTCACTCTAACCCGAATGTCCTCAACAGATAGCAAATGGAAGGACAGATTCCAAAGTCTTTCTTGACCGAAAACGTTTTGGACATGCTACACATTATACCCCCTTTGAGACTCACAGTGGTCTTTGAGGCTCCAAGTAGTCCTATAGGAAAGAAATGTTGACTCTCTCTTATTTGTGACATCCCGAAATTACTTGATCATGTGTAAGTCCCTTGGTGTGACAGGGGACCCCAGAGCTTCGAGGGACACAGAGGGAAACATGGCTCAACGGGTCTGGTTTCTAGGGTCATGGCTGGTCCTCCCCACTCCCATTGCAATACAGAAAGCAGAAAGACGAGATACTGGTTGAAGGTGGGAGCGAGGCAGAGAATTAGCTGGGCCAAGGGAAAAACAGTGCCAAGTTGGAGGAGAAAACTGTGGACTTGCTTTCCTTGTGGGGCGAGGCCTTCGTGGGGGCGTGGCCTTCATGGGCCCTTCCCCCAGCAGGTGTCAGGGGTGGGGCCTCCTTACCTCCTTAGCCCATACACGTAACACACAGCAATGGTCTCCACCAGCACGATGAGCAGCAGGGACAGCGTGGCCGCGTAGTCATTGAATATGTCAAACCAATAGTTGCCAGACTCCATGGTGAACACCAGGCCAATGACACAGTTGACGAGGCACACCAGACCTGGGGCCACAAGACCACACGCTCATTTGCCTGAGACGCCTACCTGTTCATCCAGTTTCCTATGTGGAGCCACAGACCCCAGGGGGACTTAGCCATGGACTGGCCTCTCTGCCTCTGTATGCCACAGGTGTGTGTGTTCAGGGGACAACAAAGGTGTCCCAAGGAGTGTGTGTCTGCACAAGTCACTAATGTTAATTCAGGGAGATGTCCTGCAGGGGGCGTCAAGCTCAGCGGAAAAGAGAAAGTTGTGGGTGCTGTTGTCTCCCCATGCTGTGGGGGTGGGGGTGGGGGTGGGGGTGGGGGTGGGGGTGGGGGTGGGTCCCACCCAGCCTATGGGTCTGGTGATGTCATTTACCCCTACAACTCAGCTTCTGAGCTCACGGAGGTGAATCAGGGCACCCCTTTCAGAACCTCCTAGAGAGGATTCATGTCTGGCCAGAAGAGGGAGTAGGGAGGGGAGAGGAAGACAGGAATGTCTACCCAGCTCCCACTATACGTGCCCCTGGCACGTCTCGTGCATTGGATCCAATAGCCTGGGGAGCTCCCTTTCACAGCTGGGGAAACCAAGGCTCAAAGATAAGGAGGACTTTCCCAACATCCCACAGCATCTAAGAGGGGAAGTCAGGATTCAGACAGAGGCCCTTCTGCTTCCAGAACCCAGGTTCTTGAACCAGCCTCCACGGGCAGACTCCCCCAGGGACCCCATGAAGTATTTGACCCTTAAGCTCCCACCTGCCCTTCTCACCGCCACACCATGTCCCACCCGTCACCAAGCCCCCGTGCCATCTTGAGGGGACACACCTCGAGGAAGGGGCTATGTGCTGGCTGGGAGCTAACGGCACATAGCATGTGGCCACAGAGACCATGTGGGAAGAGCGATGCTCAGTGCTAGAAGGTTCTGACAAGGGGTGGGCAGCTCCATCTGGCTGGCCAGGATTTTAAGGGGATGGGATGTGAGCTCGGTGGGATGAGGCTGGGAGAAGGGACGTCCTAGATGTGGTGGGATGGGGTCATCGTGGGCAGGAGTGGGGGGCCACTGGGTTCTATCACCAGGTATGATGGTGGAGCAGATGGGTGATGGAGTGAAGCAGGGAGATGCGTGATCAGAAAAACACGTTCCTTCCCTAGCAACCCAAATGGCCCACGACAGCAGAAGGGAAGATACACAGTGCTGGGTGGTCTTCTAGGTGATCATCTATCACGCAGGCAGGAAAGGGACAGATCGATGGTCACTTGCAACAATGGGGAGGACCGCATCGAGTTTGGTGAAGACAAGAGACATACAGCACAGACAGCGTGATTCCATGTATATGAAGTTCAAGAGCGGGAAAACGATCCTGAAGCAGTAGCAGTCACGAAGAGGTGGCTTCTGGGGCTGGGAGCATGTGGACTGGGAAGAGGTGGGGAAGGGCTCTCGGGGGTGCTGGAAACGCTCTGTATCTTGACTTAGGGGGTGGTTACATGTAAAAATCACTGAGATTGTGTTTAGGAAATGTACATGCTCTAAGTGTTATGCTTCGATTGAAACAAAGACCAGAGCAGATTGTCTCCTGGCCTGAAGAGTTTGGAGCACCATGCTGGTAAGTGTGGCCTTCCCCAAGGCTGGGGTGGCCACCATCCTTCCCCGTGATGGAGAACCAGAAGCACAGGCGAGTCATGCACTCCGAATCCCACACGGCCCCAAGGACAAGAGACCACAAGGCTCGTCCATCTGCTTGTGCACCATGCCTGGCCCTCCCTGAGTCCCCTATCCCCCATGGATGGGCCCACTCACCGGAGATGGCCTCCTTGGGCAGGTGGCTGGAGATGACCTTGCTGTCAGTCAGAGGCGTGAGGATGGCCGCCGTGTTCCCCAGCATGCTCCCAATGCCCAGCATCAGCAGCATGAAGAAATAGAGCACTGACCACAGCTGGGACACCTCCATGTTTTTAATGGCCTCGGTGTAGACGATGAAAGACAAGCCGGTGCCCTGGACCGCCTGCCCATGGTGAGAAGATAGCAGTTACCCACCCAAGGGGCTTGGGGCTCCTTAAGCACACCCGATACAAAGCAACCTGCGGGACCTGGGAGGTGGCCAGGAGAAGCCACGGGCCGAGCTGGGGTTTGCCATGTGCACACGGGCCCCTCGGGCTTAGCAGGGCTGGGTAGACACGTGAGCCATGAGGAGCCCCTTTCATCACTTTGGAACACTGAGCTCCCATCTCCTGCCCCAACTCACGTCCATTCGGGATGAAATACAATCAGACAAGGTTCGGATAATTTGTGCTTCCAATAGGACGGCCACTGAGGCATTGTGCGGCCCCAGTGGCTGGGAGGCGAGGTGGGTGGGTGAAGCCACGGGGCCTGGGAGGGCAGGGTTGCTCTGTAGCCAGAGCCCTGCAGGGATAGCCACCTGTGGAACCAGAGCCTGGAGCTCCCGCTTACAGACGAACCCTCCAAGAGGTTTGGAAGAGGTCTTGGGGTTGGGGGCATGGGGGAGGGTGCCCCCTGGGTACCAGCAGCAGAAGCAAACCCACTCTGGGGGCAAACTCCTGCAATCTAGACCTGCAGGACCACCAGAGAGATCGAGCAGCGAGCTTGCAAACAGATGTATAAACCCAAAGACGACAAGCCACGGAGGAAAGAGTTAGGAATAACTCCCCCAGAATGGCCGACACCGGTTGGCTTGGCAGACTTCTGGCATACCAATTAGCATAGTGGGATTCACCAGCTCTGCGTGCAGACAACAGGGGGTGGTCCCTTGTAGAGAATTTACAAACAGTAACAAAACCTGCTAAAGTTGGCTTTGCTTTTTATCATTATTATCATGAGCCAACAAATTCTCCATGGTGTCAGTCAGGAAACCGACTGCCCTCACTCTCCTGCCCAAGGCCACCCCTGGAATAGCTATGTAGGACCTTTTCAAAGAAGCAGAAGATAAAACTGCCAAAAGTAAGCGTATCCCAGGAAACTCAGCATGGGGAGCAAATGTGAGGGAAAAAAAAAAAATCGTGTTTAACAAATCACTGAACCGACAGGCTCCATCAACAGCTAAATACGACTTGTAGCTGAAGAGAAACTTAGGGAACCGGGAGGCATATTCCAGGAACGGATCCACAACGAAAAAAAAAAAAAAAAGATAAGAAGCTGGGAAAACATAAAAGAGAAGCGAGTGGACATGCAGTGGCAGGATGCGGAGGTCCGGAAGGAATTCCAGAGCAGAGAGAGAGAAGTACAGGCAATGATGAAGAGGTTAAGGGGTGTGAATTTTCCAGAACTGGTAAAGACACGTGGATCTGTGGCTCCAGGAGGCCCCAACCTCACCCAACCCACCCTGGGGCTGGGGGCATCCTGGCGTATTCATCCAACCCATGTCGGATGAATACAAAATACATCCATGCTTCAGTTACCGAGGCCAGAGTTCAAGGGATGGGCCAGAGAAATCAGAGCGAAAGCATGGGGCAGCCGAGAGCTTCGGAGGAGGACAGGAAATTTCAAGGCAACTGAAATCATATGGCAAACCTCTCCAAAGTGTCCAGAGAAAATAACTATAAACCTGGGACCTTCCACACAGGGGAGACAGTCCTTAAAAAGAGGGGACTGAGTATCGGCATTAGCATACAGACGACATCCGAGGAAATTTATCAAGAAGCAGGTGCTATACACCGGAAATGAATACAGCCCGGGAACGATACTGGAATTAAAACTAAAGAGGGAAAAAAGCAAGCTGCTCTAAAGGAACGCGTTTTAAGGGAGATGATGATCCCGGAAGATGTCTGGGGTGCCAGAGGAAATGGTGAACAGGTAAAAAGGCACAAAGGCGAGGAGAGACACACACTGTCGTGTAAAACAGCACAGCCTCCAACACAGGAGCTGAGAAAAGGACAGAGGCGGACACAGGCGGTATTTAAAACTACAGTCCCTGTTCCGGGTGGGCGGGAAGTCAAGACCCTGTTGAATTTCAGACCTGGTTGAGTTAAAAAGGCAGAGGACAAATTCAAGAGGAGAAATTCGCTAGATCAGTTCCAAACAGCAGAGAATAAGGCATCACAGGGGAGGGAAAACCCAGCAACGAACGCAATAGAGAAAGACAGTCTGAAGCCATCAGTCACCCCCTCATTCTCGGACACTGAGCCAAGCCCAGAAGTCAGGGCGGAAAGCTCCCAGGGGCCCCCAAACAAAAAGGAACTTTGAAATGAGAACACGGAACAGGAGCTGAGGCCCAAAGGGAGTGGATCAAGGCCTTGATGGCTGGGGGCTGGGGAGCGGGGGGTGGGGGGCGGGAAGGGGGTGTCAGGCCACAGGCCGGGGTGAGCAGAGAGCCAGGAAGGACAGTGTTGCCTTGTGCGTGAAATGAGCCGATCCATAACAGTGATGCAAGCCGACTGCCCGAGCCAGAGCCAATGTTCCCTGGGAAGGTGGCCCGCGTTGACAGGGTGCCAGGGGCCAATCACCAAGTGCAGCCTCCATGGGGTGGGCTCAGCCAGCTCCTGAGCCACAGGAGAAGGGGTCTGGTGGGGGCAGGTGGGTTATACCCCAGTTACCTTAGGCTGTTTAGCTATGGCTGGCTGAGAAGCCAGACATCTCTAACCACGGCTTAGACCAGAAGGCCCATGATCCCAGCATGATGGTGACGGAAACAGCTCCAGGCCCCGGGTTCCTCCAATGCAGCATCCGTGGGAGGGATTCAGGAGGACCAAAGTTAATGTCAAATGCCTCCCGCTGGGTATGAACCGGCAGGTTCCCCCCCACCCCCAACTCATGGGCATTTGCAAAGAAGGTGTTCTCTGCTTTGCAAAGAAGGTGTCACTCCATCTGGCAAATGACACACAGGCCCGACCCTGTGGCTGACTGCAGAACCCCCACCGGCTTGCACTTGCTCCTGTGGGCGGCTCCTGGGGAAGGGAAGCCGGCCGAGACCTTGCCCGAGCCTTACCGTGGCCAGCTCTGATTGCAAGCTACAGTTTCTCATCTGCGGGAGCACCTCACTGTATTTGCCAGGGAAGGTGGACGCCAGGTAGCCCTTCACCTGCTCCAGGTTGCTGGCGGTCAGAAAGCCATCCTCCAGGTCAAAGGAATTGGTCAGCAGCAGAATCACCCTGCCGAGCAGAGGACCAGGTGGACCTTGGCTGATTAGAAAGGCCACGGTCACGGAACCCTCTTGAAGCTGGGCTGCTGGGGGTCCTTCCCCTCTGATGGGGCAGGGTCTCTCCAACAACGGGAATCTGTAGATCTGTGGCCTTTTAAAGTTTAGCAGGGGTGGGGGTGTGTGTGTGATTTTGAATGGCTTTGAAGGAGCTTCAAGTGGGACCAGAGATGAGAAACCAACCCACCCAGCTAAGCCACCTTGATCTCTGGGCCGGCATGTTCCTCCAGAATGTTTGGGATGATGGGAATGTTCTGGGGCGGGGTGGGGGGGGTGCTGTGGCAGCTGAGCCCTTGAATGTGGGGAGTGTAACGGAGAAACCGACCTGAATTCATTTACATGTAAGTGGAAATCAATTTAAACAGAAATTTAACTGACTTAATTTAACTTAAAATCACAACTGCTTTGATTAATTAACGTTTAATCAACTAATTAATTTAATTAAAATTGAGTTAATTATATAAATCCATCCCCATTTAAATCTGTAAGTAGCCAGCTGTGGCCGGTGACTCCCACATGGGATCTGGATGAGGGTGGTCGTGTTTTGGGAAGGCGGAGACAGAGAGCAGACTCTGTCCTCTTCAGGACTCACCCACAGAGCCGCTAGACTACTTCCAAGGTCAGGGAGATGAGGCAGAAGAAAGGAAGGCTTGTCTGTTGAACTGCCCTCAGCCCCTCAGGCAGGGGCGCCCAGGCTGGGGCCCTGGATGGAGGGCTGCAAAGCCAGTGCCCTCTGCCCCTCACCCCTTGCCTTCCTGGCGCCCACCTCTTCCCAGCGGCCCTTGGGGGGAGCTTGGGTGGACGCACCCCGCCCACCCGACACGGCCCGGGATGGGCTTACTTGTTCAAGCAGCTCTCGTAGTTGAAGGTGGCCTTGAAGCCATAGATGGAGAAGGTCACGATGCTGGCAAAGATGGAGGTGGAGGTGTTGATGAGGGACACGATGACGGCGTGCTTCTGGCAGTTGTTGGACGGCTCGTTGTAGCTGGCGAAGGCGATCAGGCTGCCGAAGCCCAGGCCCAGGGAGAAGAAGATCTGGGTGGCCGCGTTGATCCAGGCCTTGGGGTTGGCCAGCTGCTCCAGCTGCAAAGCCGGCAGGGGAGGGGGCCACTGAACCACCCGTGACCTGCCGGTAGGGGGCGGAGGGCCCGGCAGTAGGGGACCCACTGCACCTGTGCTGGGGGCCGGAGCCCATCAACTCCCCAGCGGCTGACACGCACACATCGCTCCTGTCCGGTTTCTGTGGCACCCTTCCCAGCGGACGTGCGCAATTGAAAAGTCCACCGTGAAGTTAACTTAAGACACTGGGAGCCATCTGGAATGGGGGGGCATTTTGGGGTGGGGGCGCTGCCAGTCCTTTTGTTTCCAGGGACCAGATTTGCTAAATGAAGAACTTGTTTTGTCCCAAAGGAAATAGGACCCCCCCATCTCCCCACACCCTGCCGACAGAGGAGGGTTGGCTGCGGGGCACAGGGGAGCGGGTGGGCTGGGGAGGGATCACAGAATACCCTGCAGGGAAAGGGGTGAGGGAGACAGACTGTTGGACGACAAATCATATGGTCCACAGGCTGCTAGGAGGGTATGTGCGAGGCCAGACATGAGGCCAAGGCCATAGTCGGTTGGGGTGCAGGGAGGATGAGGGGGATGGGTGGACAAAAAACTCAGTGCTCCCAGCATGAACAGGACCCCCGCCTGGCTGAGGACAGGACCCAGCGCTCATAGGTAACCCACACTGCTCCCACCTCCCTGGGTCTCCCCCGCCTTTCCACCCACCCTGCAGGACGGGGGGTACCCCTCCCTCCAGCCCGTACCTTGGGCGTGAACATGTAGGCTATGCCGTTAGTGGCTCCGTGGAGCGTGAGGCCCCGGACCAGGTAGATCATGAGCACGCAGTAAGGCAGCAACGCGGTGAAGTATACCACCTGCGGGCACCAGAGGGCGGCAGAGGGCAGCGTCAGCCTCCCTGCGACCCGCGATCACCGGGCCCCTTTGTCCCTGGGACAGACCCGTGCGTGGTCCCCATAGAGCATGCCACTCTGTCTCGGGCATTCAGGCTATCGACAACTGGAATGATTCTGAGTTTGGGCTGGGGAAAAAAAAAAAAAAAAAAAAAACAAAACCCTCAGGGGCTTGCAGCCATGGCATTTCTCCACAGAACTGAGACCCAAGAAAAACTTGGCCATGAGGGCTCTGGAAAGGTGATGATGTTGGTGTGGGGACAATGTCCCTATCCGAAATATGACAGAAATTCAATCATCTGACTTTGTTTCTGCACATGAGTGGCATTTTTCTTCAACCAAATCCTTCCCTGCTGACAGGCATCGCGAGCTCAGTGGGTTCCACGGTGGCTCGGCAGCGTCATACCCCTGGCCTGCCGACGCAAACTCTTACACGACCTTCAAACCGGGACCTGCAGGTGCGCGCCTGTCCATCCAGACCAGGCACTTTTTCTCGGAATCAACCCATGTAGGTACCACAGTCTCTTTACAGAAAGCACAGAGGTATTTTGCAAAATTCTTTCTGCAAAAGCAGTTTGCTTGAAGGTTGGGTTCATCTGGTTGGAGGCCCATGTCCAGATGGGCTCGCCCTCAGCCCCCATTTCCTGCTGAGGTGTGGCACCATCTTGCCTGGAACCTTCTGAGGCCACCAGACGAGCGGTTCGCACCTGCTCATCCCCCGGGGACAGCAGGCAGAGGTGGGGCCTGTCTCTTATCACTGATTCCTCTCGAGGCCGTTTTAATTTGAGAAGAGCCATCAAGCCAGCTGACTTGATAGAAAAATAATCCAGGAGCAAGATGGAGACAGATGTGGTCAAGGACAGGAGGCCAGTGAGCTGAAGACCATTGAGGACAACTGGAAAGGGGTAACCAATGTCCGTAACTGGTGGACACTTACTGGATACTGAGGGTAGGCCCTTGGAACTTCCCCCCTTCCTCTCAGGTCAGTAAGTTTCCCAGAAGCACTCTGGGCTCACTTCTCCCCCATCAGGGAAGCTGGACAGGTGACCCAGCCTACACCATGGGGAGAGACCATTTTTGACCCATCCACGACAACTCTTGAAGTTGGGGGATGGGGGGAAGGAGATTCCAAGAGAAGAGGCCAGGAAATAGTACACAGTTTTTAACCGAATTACTCCCCCATAAAGCTGCGGGGGTACTTTTGCATGGAGAGGGGGCGTGGCTTGAACAGAGGAAATAGAAGTTCACGGCAGGACATGACCTCATTTCACACATTTATAAATGCTCTCGAAAAGAGATGGCCTCATTAAATCTCCAAGTTTATAGACACTGCCCTCAGATCTTTGTCACGTTCATGATAATCTGGCAAAGACAAATTGCAAAGAACTTTTTTTTATGAGCATAAACTATGAGCCAAACTTCAAGATGGGACAGCTTGAGTACATGAGTAGCTACAGGCTCTAAATTCTTCCAGAAAGGACTCATTAGTCCCTCAGCCTGGCCGTGGGATGGGCATGGCCCTGGGGTCATCACAGGGCACCTAAAATATCACCAGCAGTTCTGGTCTTGCGGCATCGAGAGAAACATGGTGGGGCTTCAGGAGGCGACCCAGGTGGTCAAGAGGATGAGGACTGGTGGCCTCTTAGGACCTTCTGAAGGGAAAATTGGGGTGAATTATGTCATGAAAATCCGGGAAGAACAAACAGAAGGTAATTCGCCAAACCAAGAGGTTGGGGAGTTTCAGGGGCAAAGCTGGGTCTGCCCAGGCTCCTCCCTCACTGGTTGGTGCCCTTGGGCAGGTCCCTCTGCCCCTCGATGCCTCACGTGAGTGGGATGATGAACCCTACTATGAAGGGCTCCCCAAGATGGAGACAAGGTGCACACCCAACCCACAAGGGATCAGGTAGGACGAGTGCCCGAGTATGAGGATAGGGCATGCCCTGGGAGGGGGAGGGTAGGGCATCTGCTGCAGCTCCAGAAAGATGCCAGGTGCTGGAGAGACTGTAGGAACACTTTCTCCATGGGGCAGATCAAAGAGCATCCATGCCCCCACAGGAGAATAAGCCTGGGGAGGCACCAACGAGGGAAGGTTCATCCATCCGGCGGGACAGCTCTGCAAGGTCACTGACAGCAGCTTAGAGCAAAGGTTCTGAGACTCAGCTGTAGTCCCAATCACCTGGGGGAGCTTTCATCAACCCATGCTCAGGTTCCTCTCCACACCATGACTCCAGGACTTCCGGGCAGGGGGCAGGGAGGAGTCAGATATCAGAGCTCTCTCTACAGGTTCTCCGGGTGACACCAACCTCGCCGCTAAATTGGAGGGCCAGCGGCAAGGGCCTCATGGGGACATCTCCAGGGAAGGGAAAACTCACTGTCTAGTTGCTTGGCGCCCCTTGGGTGGTATGGACGTGGGGCTGGCTGGCACAGAAACGCTCATCTTTTTAGGCAGTGGAAAAGTCCTCCTTTTGAGATGGCAACTTAGAGCACCACTGGCCATGTGCCTGGTGGTCTGGTAGGTGATTCGTGTCCATACCCTCCCCGCCGGCCCAGTGTCCCCCCCCAGCCCAGTGTCCCCCCGCACCCGCACCCCCGGAGGGCGGAAGATAGCCGTTGGCTGTGCCCAGCCCGGGCAGGGGCTCTGCCATCCCCACCTTGCCAGTGGACTGGGTGCCCCTCAGGATGCACAGGTACACCACCAGCCAGGCCAGGACGAGGCAGAGCGCCGGCTCCCACTGCACGTGCCCGCTGTCCTGGATGGACGGGGAGATGTTGAGGGTTTTCCTGTACCAGAAGTACTGGGTAGAGGACGCCTTCTCACACTCCTCGTCGTAGCCCGTGTGGTTGTCGTTCAGTGGGCACACGGACCACGGCAGGGGATCCTTTGGGATCAAAAGAAGCATTTATATAGACAGGTGAGGGCTGAGTGGGGAGGATGGGAATGGCCCTGGTAGCGGCCATTCTGGGCAGGGAACGGGAGGGCCGGTCAGGGGCACAGACAGGCATCGCAAGCTCAATACAGATCTGCAACACCGGCGATGTACACGGCAACTCTTGAGCTGGAGGCCTCTTGTTCAGTGCGTGACCTGCCCAACTACACATGATAGGTCTGCACAGAGGAGCAGGAACTGTCACCCATGGGGAGAATACAAGGAGCTGCTATTTCTACCCAGAAGGTGGAGGATGGGCAAGGCTGTGGAGTCAGGGAGATGAGCGGCTGCAACTAAGCTCAGAGTAGGGAGTCCTTTGTGTCAAGGATGTACACAGGGAATTTTCCAGTGGGGTGACCAGGGAGGCCAGAGTGGGGTGTGGACGTACTATCTTCCGAGTGTAGATGCCAAGTCCCGCTCATTGAGGTCATTCACCCAAGCATTACTTGGGGTTCCAAAGATTCAAGGCTGTGCCCCTGTGCTCCAGAGAGCGGCCCCACAAGCTGGGGCTAGTCCACAGTGCATGGCCAGCCCTGCCTTACTTTCAGAACTTGGGGACAGTGTCTGTCCTCTGAAGGTCTGGGTCAGGGGCAAAGGGTGTGGCATCTGCCCAGTAACCTTCTGTCCAAGACCGAAGGGGGCTGCTGGAGGGCAAGAGGGGGCAGAGGCTGGTGGGGGGTGGTCCTCAAGAGTGACAGGCAGGCACTGATGAAAGGCCCTGAGCACGGGCCACAGAAGCGAAGACCCCTCTTGGCTTGGACACAAGGAGCACCTCGCGAGGAATCGGGGTTCTCTCTTCTCTGTGATTTTCAGCTCCCTCCCAATCACTACCATGAGCGCCCGCTGCGACTATCTTCCGAAGTACATGTTTAAAATGTTTATCTTTGGGAGCAGTCCCTGTTGTGTTACAGGGGGGCCAATGGTCCTTCTAGGAGAACTCGGGTCTACAGGGAGAAGTGGGGGCTCGGCCTGGAGTCAGAAAGCTGGGAGGACGAGTGACCGGAGCAGGGAGGGGTGGGGGGTGAACCAGAGGCGGAGGAAGGGCTCCCCTCCTGTCTTGCTGGGTTGGCTGAATCCCTCCCCAGGGGCTCTCTCCATAGATTTCCAGGGGTGCTGCTCAGTATTTTGTGGAGGGTGGAGGGGTCCTAGCTTTCAGAGGGAATGCGGAGCCCCACGCACGCCCGTGCACACCACGGCAGGAGCCCGCCGCTTGGCGTGGGGTGCTTGGCCTGCCCCTGACCCCAGCCCCAGAGGCTGCCCCCTGGGGGTGGCTCCTGCTCCCACCTGGGCTGACTCACCTGGAAGGAGTGGAAGAGATACCAGAAGGCCCAGGCGTTGATGATGTTGTAGTACATGGACAGGAAGAAGGACACCACCACGCTGGCCAGGCCTAGGAGGAGGCAGAGGGGTGCTGAGGCCTGGCCCGTGTCCACCAGCCCGGGACGCACCCCAGTGACTGCACCAGGACAGCAAAGCCTCCTCCGGCCGCTTTGCAGGAGAGCCAGCTGTGGCCAGGCGCCCGTGGCCCCTCTCTAAGAGCCAGTCCGTCCCCACAACCTCACTCCCCAGCCTTGAGAACGTGAGTCCAATGCCAGTCTGTCACACTTCAGTGCCAGGTGCGACGTCGAGCACCTGCTGGGCTTTAGGTCTTGGCAACAATGTGGTCACGGGTGGGTGGGGGTGGGCATTATTACCCGTACTTCCCAGAGGAGAAAATGAGGCAGGGAGATGGCCCGAGAGCGCTCAGCTGTGACATGGCAGGCATGGGCTCAGCACGGAGTGTGAGTGGCCTGCTCACCTGCCCAGTGCCACCCCGATGCTGGAGGTCACAGATGTCCCCTGGGGCTCCCCTCAAGTGGGGTCCCTTGTGCCCAGCCTGGCTTCATGGCAGCAGGGAGCAGTGGTGTGGGACGGGGTGTGAGGAGGGGAAGGGACAGGTTGGCGCTGACCTGGCCAGCCTGCAGGGCCCGGGGCAGGGGTGCATGACACCCACCCACACCAGCCCCCCAGAGGCACCCCTGCCCTGTGGAACACTGCATGAAAGGTCTGCAGCCCCCTCCCCACCACCACCAGTGCAAATATTTACACCAGGGGCACTGGTGAACGCTACAGCCAGATCCTCCCTACCCCCGCCCCTCCTCGAGGGCCAGTGGTTAAACATTCTCCCGCACCTGGGCTTGGCATAAGCATCTGGTAGCTTTCCTCTGAGGCAGCAAATGCCACCTTGGAGAAGCCCTCTGCAATTGATGACATGGGCCCATGGTAAAACCACACACCGCCTTGTTAAAAATTAACAGCCCTTCAGGATAAGGAGGCCGCTGGGGTTTGGAGATGGTCTGGGAGGGCACGGGCGCATCGCTTTTGCACAAAGCCTACATCCCAGGCCCATGTATGTCCCTGTTGCTCCCAAAACACCACCCTGTGCCCCTGCCTGCCTTCCTGCCTGGGGGAGGGAGGGTGGAGCCCAAGACACCGTGGCCCGTGTGGGCCAAAGTCCCTCCTGCAGCGCCCAGGGATCCCTGAAACGTGAGGGTTGCACAGGGCAGGTTAACGATCTCCAAGAGGTGCCCGGATGCCCGCTGGCAGTCTCTCAGGGGAGGTGGGCATGCAGGCTCTGCCTCTGCGCATGGAGGGACCAACGCATCCCACAGGCTCTCAGTGCTATGACCCAGAGCATGTGGGTCCGTAAAGCATCTATGGTACCGGCAGGCACCTGGCACGGAGCCGGTGCTCACGGAGTGGGAGACGTTGTTCTGTGCCAGGTACGTGCAGGCACAGGTACCTAGAGGAGCTCCCAGAATGGAAGCTGGCTGGACCCTGTGTTACAGCTCCTTGATGGGGCAGCTAGCTTCCTTTTATAGAAGAGCAAACGGAGGCCCGGAAAAGAGAAGCAATGTGGCATCCGCTCCCCAGTGGGTATGCATCCCCCCTTTCTCAGCGGCACACGAGTAAGAAATCCTGCCCTCTCTACTGGCTTTCTACAGCCCCCCAACCCGGGGCGTGAGTCCACCCTCAAGGGCTTGCTCTTAGAACCTGTGCGGGCTCCTTGCTCCAGCTGCTCTGCCCGTGGGCTCCCACCCCCACCCCCCAGTGTCCGGGATACAGCAGGGGGTCTCCAGGGGGCCCCAGATGGGAGAGGACCCACTTACCGACACCACCAAGGTAGGGGCTGATGGTCTTCCAGGCGCCGACGCTTCCCTGCCGCATGCGCTGCCCCACGGCCAGTTCCAGGTACAGGAGAGGCATGCCCTCCACAATGAGCATGACGAAGTAGGGCACCAGGAAGCTGCCTGCGGGTGTCCAGAGCCAAGACCAGGCCATCACTAACACGTTTCACTCTGGAGCCTGCAGGACCTCCATTCACATATCCCTCCAGCCACCCTCCCTTCCTTCCTTCAGTCTTTCCACATATGCATTCATCCTTCTACCTTTCCACCCACCCATCCTTCCACCTTTCCATCCATCCTCTAACCCTCTGCCTTCACTCTTTTCTACCTTGTTCCACAACCCACTGTTCTTTTTTTTTTTTTTTAAGATTTAGAAAATTAATTTATTGACAGACAGAGATCACAAGTAGGCAGAGAGGCAGGCAGAGAGAGGGGGAAGCAGGCTCCCTGCTGAGCAGAGCCTGATGCGGGGCTTGATCCCAGGACCCTGGGATCATGACCCGAGCCGAAGGCAGAGGCTTTAACTCACTGAGCCACCCAGGCTCCCCAACACACTGTTCTTTCATTCCTCTCACCCATCTGTCATTCATCCATCTGTGTTCTTCCATTCGTCCATCAATCCACCCACCCATCCATCCACCCAATCCAACCATCCACCTACCCATCCACCCAACCATCCACCCATCTACCATCCAACCACTCATCCATTCACCCATCCAACCATCCATCATCCATCCGTCCATCCATTCTTCCATCTTTTCATCTTTCTACTTATCCATCCATCTGTTCAACCATCTGTCCGTGGATGACATGTGGACTTGTTAGTTAAAACGTTGAAACACTTCCATCCCAGGTAGTAAACTGCCACTGTCCCAAGCCCCTTGAGTGCCTTTCTCAATGCCTCAGCTGCCCCAGCTCCTCTGCCAGAAACCTTAGTCCATCTTCTGTTGTACCAACCAATGATGTATGTGTGGGGAGACAAGGGGTCCCCAACAGACAGAGCCTAGACCACCATCTTCTTTGACAGAGTACCTCTATTGTATGTGTATCTGTTTTATGCAGGGGCCCTCGGTCTAAAATTTTATTTTAATGAAGAGTACTATCACCAACACAAATTTAAAACTCATGGGTCCCTGAGCAGGGATCAGCGGATGAATGCCTGTGATGACAGTGGGGAGCCTGGGGTGTGGCCGTAGCTCTGGAAGCCCTCCCCACTGCTGACACCTGCTGGGGGCTCCCTTCACCTCTGCTTGCAGGGCCTCACCCTGCTGCTTCTCCTGGGAGCCCCGCCCCTCCTTCCCTCCTTCTCTGAAGCCCTGCTCATCTCTCCCCCTGGGCTCCCAGCTCCTTGGCAGGGGACCTGACAAAAGGTTCCAGGAGGAGAAGAGGGCAGGACTCCTGATTAAAATAAAACCCTGACACTACAGCTGCGGGGATTAAGGGCTGGTTACAGAAGGAACTGGTTGCAAAAGTGTTCAAGTCAAAGAATGAAATATAGATGCTTACATGAACGTCTAATGTTTGCAACAATGTCTTCACTGTACATACAGAGCCCCCGAGCTCCCTCTTCTCCCCCGGCGGGATCTCACGATCCCTCTCCCGACCGCAACATGTCCGTGTGCATCACCCCCCCCCCCCCGTAGCTGCCTGGCGTTCTGCTAGGAAAACGTGCCCAGACTCATTTCATCCTTTGTCATCCTAAACAGAGCAGTGGGACAAAGCCTGGCCCACGTGTTCGGTTCTTTCCTCGGGGCAGAAATCCCAGAAAGAGGATCGCTGGCACCAAGACCAAGCAGAGTCCAAGCAGCGCCATCTCCCACCACAGAGAGAAAGGCACTGACTATGCCATCGCCACCAGGCCTCGCCTTCCCAGCTCTGATCTCCCCACTTACACTGGGGCCCACGACACATGCTCCCCTCTCACTTCTGGACTCTGTGCTGATGTCTCTACCAGGCCCTCCTCCCATCCTGCCCTGTTGAAACATGTTTTGGCATCTCCCCAGGTTCTTCTTGGAGCAGGGAGTTCAAGAGGCAGTGTTGTTGTGGGGGGGGGTCCCCACCCACCCCAAACCTAACAACAAAGGTTGCATGGACATCACCTGCTTGGAACAGCATTCAAACTCTCAGTTGTCATAAGAAAAGCTCACTTGCACCCAAGGTGTTAAACAGTAACCACACGAGGCCTGGTAAGATCCATGGCAGATTTTCTCTCTGACAGGGCCTGCCTGATGGCCCATGGCCCATGGGGAGGCTGGAAATCAAAGACCTGGTGCCCAGGCAGGGTCACAGGGACACTCGGGGTCTGCCCATCAGACATTTCTATCTCCCCTCCCATCCTCCAACTATCCAAACACATGATCCCCGTGAGTTCACTCTGCAACCGTTTTCTCCACACATGGTTTTAGAGGGGCGCCTGGGTGGCTCAGTGGGGTAAAGCCTCTGCCTTCGGCTCAGGTCATGATCCCAGGTTGCTGGGATTGAGCCCTGCAATGGGCTCCCTGCTTGGCAGGGAGTCTGCTTCTTCCTCTCCCCGTCTGCCGCCACCCCCCAGGTTGTGCCCACCCCCATCAAATAAATAAATAAAATCTTTTAAAAAAGTGGTGTTAGAACTGAACACCAATGCAGAAAAAGATGAATCTCATCCCGTATCTCACATTTTAGAACCCCACCCCCCCCAATACCTCTCAAAATGGATCATAGACCCGTATGCACAACTCAAAACTATAAAACTTCTAGAAGATGGCCCAGGAGAAAAACTTTCTGACCACAGGCTAGGCAAAGATTTCTCACCTACCCCATCAAAAGCACTATCTATGAAGGACGGCAACGGTAAGTCAGATTTCATTTTCAAACTGTGCTGTGACAGACACAGGTAGGAAAATGAAAAAGGCAAGCTGAAGACTGGGAGAAACATTTGCAAAACACAAATCTGACAAAGACAGCATCTAGAATTTGTAAAGGACTCTCCAAACTGAACAATGAGGAAACGAAGAACCCATTCAAAAAAAGTACAAAGGATCTGAACAGACGTTTCAGCAAAGAAAATACACGAACTGCAAATGAGCTCATGAAAAGATGCTCAATGTTGGTGTTCATTGTGACAACAAGCATACGGATCACGGTGAGATGCCACTGCACACCTATCAGGACGGCTAAAATAAACCAGGCTGACAATACCGAGTGCTGGTGAGGACCTGGGGGGACTCCCGGGCATTGCTGCTGGCCTGGAAGGTGGTGCAGCCGCTCTGGAAAGGGGTTTGGCAGTTTCGCATAAAGTTAAGCACACTCTTCCTGTGTGCCCCAGCCGTCGTACCCCTAAGTGTTTCCTCTAGAGAAGCGACAACATTCGCATCAAAACCTCTGCATGAATGTTTATAGCAGCTCCGTTCAGAGTCATCAGAAACTGGAAACAACTTAGTGGTTCTCCATTAGATGAGTGGATAAGTTGTGTACATCCATCCAATGAAATACTACTCAGCCAGCAAAAGGAACAAACTACTAATCCATGCTACAGCACCACAGACTCTCAGAAGTGTTATGCTAAGTTAAAGATGCCAGGTTTGAAAGACTCCGCACTGTATGATTCCCCTTATAGGACATTCTGGAAAACAGCAACCCCACAGGGACAGAAAACAGATCTGTGGTTGCTGGGGGTCGGGAAGGGAAGGGCTGACTCTAAGGGGCATTACTGCAGTGGAGGTAATGCAACCAAACATTTATCAAAATTCTTAGAATGGACACCAAAAAAAAAAAGTTTACTTTCCTGCGTATCTCAAGAAAAGAAAAATTAGTTTTGTGATGAGTTTGAAAATGAGTCCACTGACCAACCCTCTTCCACGGACTTCTCTCCTCTGATCCTGCCTTAGTATGAGCAGACCCCATTGTCAGGGAGAGATGGATAAAAATCCTTTGCTCCCATGACCCAGGGATGAGAAGCCACAGGAGGAGAACCGAAGGCCCATCGAACTCCATGCTGAGTGCCCATGTGGGAGGACTTGCAGGCCGACATCCCCACAACAGCCAGACCTGATGAAGCCTGGAGAAATCCCCAGGCACCCACAGAACTGAGAGAAAGAATTCACTGCTCTACGTACTACTTCGGTTTTTGCACCCCCCCTTTTTACCTCTCAATACTTCATCACACTGCTCCTAAAAATAAGGACATTCTCTTGCATAACCCCAGGGCAAGGAGAACCAGGAGAGTGACATGGCAGCAGCATGAGGATTTAACCCACAGACCTGGGTCACCTGGGTGGCTCAGTGGGTTGAGCCTCTGCCTTCGCGGCTCGGGTCATGGTCTTGGGGTCCTGGGATCGAGCCCTGTGTCGGGCTCTCTGCTCAGTGGGGAGCCTGCTTCCCCCTCTCTCTGCCTGCCTCTCTGCCTGCTTGTGATCTGTGTTAAATAAACAAACAAACAAACAAAAATTAACCTGCAGACCTTCCTGCAATTTGACCAACTCCCCCACCCCCATCCTCCTTCCGGCCTCACCATCATGAGAGGCGTCTCAGGCTGGATACCCTCACTCAGCTTCAAACTGGGACAGCCTCTCGGGCTCTCCTTGTCTTTCACAACCTTGACCTGCCATAGAATCCTCACCAGTTCTTCTGTGGAATGTCCCTTGCTTTGGGTTTTGGCAGGAACACCGAAGCCACCTGGGTCTTTGTCCAGGGGCACATGATGCCGCCTTGCCCAGCTCTCGGGTGGGTTCACTTGGCTCACTTGGTCAAGGTAGGCTCTGCCAGGTTTCTCTGCAGAAAGTTACGGGTTTGCCCCCCTGGAAATGATGATGTGACTTTGCTGGGAGGTATTTTGAGCTGAGATCACCCTCCTGTTTCCCATCAGACCCCTGCCCGCCAGACTGAGCAGCCCCTAAGGATTCTTGTGGGAGACACCTGTCGTCGTGCTGGCTGCCGATGGGCGACCCTCGAATTCCATCATTCCTTCTTCGTCCTTAAGCTTCAGAGGGCTCTGGGGTGCCGAGATAGGTCAGGTAGCACCGGCCTGTGTGTGTCTGCACGACCCTGGGCGTGGGGAATGGTTAGTCACAGAGGACAATTCTACTCTGAGATATAAACACAGCTCCGAGCCTGGAGAGCTCTTACTGCCACCTCCCCAGTGAGCA